GGATTTTTCATATGCAACAACAAGACTACATTTGTATAGCGCCTTTCACATCGGGAGGATGTCCCAAGGCGCTGGATAGTGTACAGCATTTCAGACCTGAGCTGGGGTCAGAGGGGGAGAAGGGAGGGGAGGGGAAGGGGGGTGGCCGATAGCACGGTCGAAGAGGAGGGTCTTGAGGCAGGACTTGAAGGAGGTTAAGGAGGGGGCGAGGCGGAGTGATTGGGGGATGGAATTCCAGAGATTGGGGACAGAGTGGCTGAAGGCTCTCCCACCAATGGTGGGGTGGGTAGGTTGGAGGACGTTGGGCGAGAATGGGGGAGGTGGGGTCACAGAGTTTGGTGCGGGAGAGGACACGGGCTGCAGAGTTCTGGATTATCTGCAGCCTGTGGAGGGAGGAGTTGGGAAGGCCGACAAGCAGGGCATTTGCATAGTCGAGCCTGGAGGTGATGAAGGCATGAACAAGAGTTTCAGCGGCCTGAGGGGTGAGGTAGTGACGGAGTCGGGCGATGTTATCGAGGTGAAGGAAGGCAGAGTGGGTCATGGCTTGGATGTGGGGAAGAAAAGACAGTTGAGGGTTGAGCAAGACACCTAAGTTCCTGACTGGCTGGTGAGTTGTAGTGAGCAACCATGGAGGTTGATGCTGCCAGAGCTTGAGGTACAGAGGCATTGGCGTGAGCCAATCAGGAGGGCCTCAGTCTTGTTCACATTCAATTGCAGGAAATTTGCCCTCATTCAAGACTTGATGTCCTTCAGGCAGTACCCATATGCACACCATATGCTTTGAATCTTCAAAGGCTGTCAATTGCAGAGTGGAATTCTCATTGTGGAAGCAATGCCTGTACTATCCTGTTACAACCGTGTCATTTCAGTGCAAGCGAAGGTACCAATAATGACCCCCTTCCACTTGTGTTGCAATAGAAACAGAATGTTGTTTTGGGCAACCAGATTTAGAAGGTGATTTGATGTCTTGATTGAATAATTAAGTTACAAAGAGTGATACGGCATGAAATCTGTCCATTTGACGCAACTAATCTGTGCTGATGTTTATACTCCACATTTCTTCCATTGTCGTCCTGATTTTATCAGACTTGTCATTCAGCTTTTCAATATGTCATGTCTTGTAATGCTCCCACAGTCATGCTGGGCTCACAAACATGTTGCTATCCCATTTGTTACCATGTCAAATGGCATTGGGAGTCAAGCTGTGGAGGGGATGCAGTATCTTTCTGCTAGCTTGATTCCTTAATGAGGTGCATTGGGCAGTGAACCGTGGAAGCATTCCTTATGTGGATATGATTTGCAACTTGCCCAGAATAAATGCATAGCCAATAACAATCAGTTTACACTCTTCTGTTACCACTGACTATTGGATTAGGACCGAATTAAACCAGACTAATGTACACTTACTCAACATTTGCTAGGAGTGCATTTGCACACTAAGTAAAGTGTCCTGACATGAAAGGCATTGTACCAAATGCGAGAATTATTATTAAAAAGGCATCACATTCTTTTTTGCAGGGAACTATGAGCCAGTACCAAAGTGGAGTTAGATGGTTAAGTGTGAATTTGAGACATGCTTTTGTAAGTTAAATGCTCAATTGAATTTAGTACTCGGATGGAATGAATTGAACCCTCAATTTGACCTAGAAAAACTTAATTGGCGAGGAATGTGTGTGTTTGCGTTTTGAAGCTCTAACTGTCAAGAATTCTGGACTCTAAAAGCAGCATTCATGGAACAGGTCCTGTTCCTGCGATCTTTTATGTACTTCCAAAAGATTTATGAGATTAAAGATTGACTTCTTTGTAGACTGTCACGTAACCAGCATTTGATTCATCTCACTCTTTGCTGTCCTGTAATCTTGACGCAAGTATGCTTTGTGTGTGAGTGTGTGTTTGTGTATATGTGCGGAGATTGTGGGGGCGGGTGGGGTTGAACTTCAACGATGTAGGTTCCTCAGTGAAAAGGCTACGTTCCTCACTGTGATCACCTTAAAATGGTAAATGAGTACCATAGTTTAGGGGCAAGCTGAAAATAAACTTGATTTGAATAGCAGCTTGTACACAACCTCACAGACCTTATCAATGGACTCTATTGCAGTAAAACCATTTCAGATGAAATGTCTGTTCTGCACTAGATATTTTTACTCAATCCTCAAAGTACAGTGGTGTTCTAATATGAGGCAATGCTTCTTCATTGTAGATCTATGAGTTTCTAATCTTTAATTGGTACTAAAAATACTTACAGAGACATCATCTGATGAATTGCAGGGTTGTCATTTCTTAAATTTAACTGGTGTCTAAGTTGAATTAGTATGTTTCAATAATTGCATACCAACTTATAATGAAATACTGCAATTTGTCCCCAGCCTATTTTTTTTAAAAAAAACCTTACTCCACATTCCTTTTTTTTCCTTCCTTCTTTTCAGTTTTTTTTAGCATGTCAGATAGGCGTAGTGTAGCATTCTCACCTCTAAGTCAGAAAGTTATGGAATCAAGCCCCACATCCTTCAGATGAAAAAGCCAAACTAATTTCCTGTCTACTTGTTCAGGTGGACATTAAAGTTCCCATGGCACCACTCGAGAAGAGAGTTTCTCCCAGTGTCCTGGCCAGCAAACCCCCAAATAAAATTAGTCATTTACTTTGTAGCTGTTTGTGGGACATTGCAAACTACCTACTACGTTCATCTACAAAATACACATTTGCTACTCTTTATAGTAAATTACTGTGAATTGTTTTGAGATGTCCTCCTGACATGAAAGGTGCTAAATCAAATGTAAGGATTATTATTTTACCTTCCTGAGCTGGGGAAGAGATAATCCACTGCCCCTGTCTATCTTTTTTTGACTACAGCATTGCCCCACAAATGACCGTGAAATGTATGATCAATTTCATTTTACAGGCACAATTGTACAAATAGTTTTCTGTCGCTGCTGTATGTAGCTTCCCACCTCATAAATACTTGGCTAATATTTCCATGCACAATGGAAACCAAGAATTAAGCAAATTCATACAGAGTCAATAAATAAATAGTAGTACACCTACTATTTACCAGTGGGTTCATCTTTGCACTTCTGCTGGTATTTTGCTAAATGGAGAAGTGATTTTTTTTTTGTGAAATTATTGGACTCCACAGAAGGAAAAGGTTTTCCATTTATCTGTACTAACACTGATGTGCTGTTGCTCTACTTGGCATTTTTGAATTATCATATAGAAACATAGAATTGTACAGCACAGAAGGAGGCCATTTGGCCCATTGTGTCTGTGCCGGTTCTTTGAAAAGAGCTCTCCAATTTAATCTCATTCCCTTGCTCTCTCCCCATAGCCCTGCAAACTTGCCTTCCCCAAATAATTATCTACTTCTTTCTTAAACGTTGTTATCGAATCGGCTTCCATCACCCTTTCAGGCAATGCATTCCAGATCCGAACAATTCGCTGTGTGAAATCATTTCTTCTCACCTCCCCTCTGTTTCTTTTAACATCTATTTTAAATTTGTGTCCTCAGGTTACCGACCCACCCACCAGTGGAAATAGTTACTCCTTGTTCACCCTATCGAATCCCCTCATAATTTGGAAAATTTCTGTTAAGTCTCCTCTTAACCTTCTCAGCACCAAGGAGAATAATCCCGGCTTCTCTCGCCTCTCCTCAAACTGAAGTCCATCATTCCTGGTACCATCCTGGTAAATCTCCTTTGCACCCTCTCCAATGCCTTGACATCCTTCCTGAAGTGTGGTGCCCAGAACTGAACACAGTCTCTCGCTGAGGCCTAACCAGTGTTTTATAAAGGTTCATCATAACTACCTGACTTTTGTATTCTTTGCCCCTATTTATAATAATTAACCCAACAACTTCTATATATATTGAAACAAGAGGAGACCACCAGGTGGATCGCTAGTGTTAGAGGAATGAGCTGTGAGCAGCCATTGGACAAAATGGGACTCTTCAGTTTTGAGAGATGACTCAATGAGGGTACATTATAGAGATGTATAACATTTTAAATAGGATTAAAAAAGTAAACCCAGATTAATACTTTAGGATGCATCAAGACAGTACAACAAGAGGATGCAGGTTTAGAATTACAAGGGGCAATTTCAGGACAGACACCAGGAAGTGTTTCTTTACTCAGAAGGTAATTTGAAGACTGGAATAAGTTGCCAGGAAAGGTGGTTGAGGTTAGAACACTTGGATTCATTTAAAAAGCAGCTTGACGTTGTGATCAGGACAGTAGGGTGGTTGTTTGGGTGGATGGGTTGAGATCAGAGGACTTGATTGTGCTTGCCGCCCAGTGCTATCCAAAGGACACGTCCATAGTTTTCCCCTGGCATTAGCTGAAAAGTACAGGTGGCTTTGAAAGACCAGGGCTGCAATGCCCTTCACTGGAACCATTTGCCTCCTGCAAGACTGATCTTAAAATCTGATTAACTCTCTTCACACACAGACAAACCTTCTTAGCTCATCAATTCAAAATCTCTGAAACAGACCAAAAGTGTCTCATTTGCATAAATATAAAACCTGACGAACAGCATATTCTGGGCAAACAAGTAAAAATAAATTTGGTCAGTCAATCTATGACTGTTTGTGGGACACTGCTGTGTGCAATTGGCTGCCACATTTTGCCCACAAATTGCACAGTCAATTCACTTTAGAATATATCCTTTGAAGTGATTGAGACGTCTCAATGACTTGATAAGGCGCTATATCAATTGCATGGATTATTATGATTATTATTATTTGTGGTGCTCCCTTCTTATGCAGAATTTGACCTATTTAGTAGATTGAATTGGGGAAAATATTGAAGTTGAGGTTTATCTGCTGAATAATGCTGATTTTTGCCTCTTAAGATTGACATGGAAGTAGAAAGTGTTCTGTGTTGCACAAACTGACTGGGACTATTGCACAGACTGAAACAGCCATAAAGTGAATGACCAATATTTGTTTAAGCTGCGAAGATTGTTGGCCAAGACATGTGGAAAAATTCCCTTCTCTTTTCAGATAGTGCCACAAAATCTTTAACATCCAGCTGATCATGCAAACGACACCTCCATTTAAAGTCTCCTCCGAAGGACAGCACCTTGAACAATGCAGTGCACCCCCAAGACTGTACTGGAGCGTCACCCTATCAGCCTACCCTATGAGCTCCTATACCTCATAATTAATGTTCTCCTATCTCCATTGTGCTTCCTACCTTGAGACACAGCAAAATATTGACTACTATGAACAATGACAAGCGGCTAATAGGTGTGTTCTACTTTCCCTCTGGTTGGTTTCTGTTCTGCCCTTATTTACATTGTAAAACATACTTTTGGAAAAAGTGAAACAGCAAGGTTAAAGTAAGCTGTTGGTAGCTGTTAGGTAGCTGTTGACAATTTAAACAGGCCCTACCCTGATTTTGTTCTTTGTCGCCAATGACTCAGTGGCATTATAAATCAAATGCTTATTGTATAGGGGTGTGAGGAAATCATTTGTATTGTCGCCTGGCGTAATAGTTCTTCTATCTTAATTGTCTGCCTGGAACTGACAGCACTGGAATGTTTGTTATCAGAATTGTAGTGCTTGGTCTGAAATTGCTTTTAGCATCCAGTTTTACATGTTCATGACACTTAATAAACCTCACATTTGATTTCAAAAGAAATGTGAGAAGCAAACATGTCATTGAGATGTCTCAAAGTGCCTCACAGGATATATTGTAAAGTGAATTGACTGTATATTTTGTTGATGAAATGCAACAACCAGTTGTGCATAACAATGTCCCACAAACAGCCATGGGATGAGTAACCAATTTTTTATTTAGGGAATTTACTAGCCAGAACACAAGGAGAAACTCCCTTCTTTTTTTGACGAGTACCATCAAATGTATAATGTTCATCTGAACAGGCCGGCGGGTACTTGGTTTAACTTCTGCATTGGAGTGTCAGCTTTAGACTGTGAGTTCAAGTACTGACGTTGGATTTTCCACACGTAGAAAATACCAAGGGTTTCTTAATACTTACAAGCTTTGGCATACAATTTTTGTGATGAGTCAGTTCATCTTGACTGCATTGTGCAATTAAGTCACTTTGAATTTAGAATCATAGTGCTTTTCCAAGGGTTACAATTCCTTCAAATAATAATAATAATAATTTTCTAGGAGAGGCCAGAGAACTTAGGAATATTCTCCTTGAAGCAGAAAGGTTAAGAGGAGACTTAATAGAAGTTTTCCAAATTATGAGGGTATTTGATTGGGTGAACACTGTGAAACTATTTCCCTTGGCGGGTGGATCAGTAACCCGAGGACACCGATTTAAAATAGTTGTTAAAAGAAACAGAGGGGAGGTGAGGTGAAATTTTTTCACACAGCGAGTTGTTCATATCTGGAATGCAATGCCTGAAAGGGCGGTGGAAGCCAATTCGATAATAACCTTTTAGAGAGAAGTAGATAATTATTTGTGGAGGTCAAGTTTGCAGGGCTATGGGGAGAGAGCGAGGGAGTGAGGTTGAATTGGATAGCTCTTTTCAAAGAGCCGGCATAGACACGATGGGCCGAATGGCCTCTTTCTGTGCTGTATAATTCTATGATTCTATGATTTGGTCACTCATTTCATGCCTGTTGTGGGACACTGCTGTGCGCAATTGGCTGCCCTGTTTTGTCTACAAATTAGACAGTCAATTCATGTTACAGTCTATCCTGTGAAGTGCCTTGACGTGATAAGGCATTTTATCGACTGCAAGGATTATTATTATTTATTGTTATTACTTAACTGTTTCTGGAAGTAAGAGAGTTGGCAGCTCAGGGACGATCTTAAAAGGCTGCCTTAACGGCTAAAACGCTCTGTAGCTTCAAAGACTCAACATCCAGACTATTCTGTACTTTGTTTCTATAACTTGTGATCACTTGAATTAAATGGGGTAGGTGGAGGTGGGAGCGGGTGGGGGAGTCAGTTCTCTGGAGAGATCAAAAATGGTATGTTTATTATGTTTCAGATGATAGATAATAAACTGCTTGTCCATTGTACTATGGGTAGGTTGAGGGAAACACCCGTTTCCCTGGGCATTTTCAGTTTACTCACTGGGATCTCAAAACCATTGTTGTTGTTGTTTACTAATTTGTTGTTGTTGTGAATTGTCACAAATGTCACCCGAATGCCTTCGGTCCTCCGGGTCTGGCCTCCTCCTCGTCCCGCGAGTCCTCCGTTCCACCCTCGGCGGCCGTGCCTTCAGCCACTATGCCCCGAGGCTCTAGAACTCCCTTCCTCACTCCCTTCGCCTCGCCCCCTCCCTTCCTATTTTCAGGTCTCTTTCTTTTCGACCATGCCTTTGGTCACCTTCCTTCCCCTCCCCTGGCTCGGTCCCGGGATCCATTTGCTGTGAAGCGCTCTGAGACGCCATCCGGCATGGAGGGCGCTATATAGATCTAAGTTGTTATTGTTGTTGAATGCATCTGTCCCTTGGTCTGAAATCTGGCTGATGTTAACCCCATGTCTGCGGATGATGTCACCAAGGAGGAGCGTGTAGATATTAAAGAGGAGAGGGCCAAGGACAGAGCTCTGGGGGACCCCAGACATGACAGTGCGGGGGCAGTCCGGGAGAGGCAACAAAGTGGAGACCGTGAGACAGATAGGATTCGATCCAGGCAAGGGCAGGTCCGCGAAGGTTAAGTAAAGAGGAGAGGCGGTGTGTGAGGATGGAGTGCTCGATAGTGTCGAAGGCGGCAGAGAGGTCGAGGAGGACAAGGTGTTCAGAATGTCATTAGTGACTTTGACCACTCAGCATGAACCTTCCTGTGCAGCAGAGGAGAAAATGGTGGTTGTGGGTGGGGAAGGGGGGTGGGGAAGAAAATCATTAAACTCATTAAAAAAAAATCCTTTAGACGGGAGTAATCGTTTGGAAAGCAGTTACAAAGGAAAATATTTAGTTTTTCTTTCTAAGGCTAAATGCTCTCCATAGCAACTATCACTACTAGCTTTGCAGTCATTAGTAGATTTATCCTTTAACACGAGAGTCGAATGCATGCGCACTGGCTGCTACAAATTACAGTGATTTGCGTGGAACGTACAATTACAGAACAATGGGATGATCTGGTCGCTCAGCCAGGGAGTCGCTCCAAGGGCAAGCTAAGTGTGAAACGCACAGCTTTGCTCCCGCCCCACTGATAGTATTTTGCCGGCGAGAAGCAGAGGAGAGGTGAAATCATCAGCGATAGAGCCAGGGATTGAAAATGGGCAACGTATTTCACAGAAGCGAGAATTGTTCCGACGGTTTGTCTTTTCACCCAGAGTGGATTCCTGCGAGCCAGCCATCAACGACAAAAGACGAACAATATGCTGAACTCATCTGAAACATGACCGCGGAGATTTTTAAAAGGTTTGAGGGGCATGGGGGAGGCGGAATTTGGCAGAAATTGTGCTCTCTCCCACTCCCAGCCCCTGCCCTCATTTAAAGTGTCGATTCCCGCTGCTGTAGTACGAATTCTTGTAAGGGGCATTGCCTGCACCTGTATTTTTGGCTTGTGTGAATGCACAACCCGTTGAAGTTAAATCACTTAGAGCTGCATCCGTTAAGCTGCAAAACAAAAAGCCAGTTGTGATGAAAGTAAATGTGTGGCTTGTCTCGCTGCCCGCTCACAGAAACTCCCTCATTAACTGTAGCTCTTATACTCACTGCTCCTGATTAACATGTCTTTTGTGATCCGAACCGTTGCTGGTAAAATGGCAATTTCCACGTGAAATATGCAGCATTACCTGAAAACCTACAAATAAGTCCTGCAAACACTGAGCTGGAAGAAAACAAACAAAGGCGTGCTGGGAATCCAGTGCTCTCTGCTTTTGAGACTCTGCCTACTGTGAGCTTGGCTGAGCTGGTAACACTATCAGCGTCTGGAACAGAACGTTGTGTGTTTGGGACTTGAGCTCATAGAGCGCTGCATTGTTGAAGGTGCTGTCTATCAGATAAGACGTCACACCGAGCTCCAGGAGAATCTTAGACGATCCCATGAAACCATTTCGAGGGAGTTTCTCCTGGTATGCTGGCCAGAAAATCCTCCAGATGAAGTTATCATTTGCTTCATGCCCATTTGTGGGACATTGTGTGTAAATAAGATTAAAAAAATAACCTTTGGACTTGATTTATACAGTGCCTTATCATGTCATTAAGTGCTTCACAGGATATGCTGTAAAGTGGATTTACTGTGTGTTTTATGCCTGCATGCGACAATGTCCTACAGTCATAGAGTGAGTGACCAATTTTCTTTAAGTTACTTAACAGCATAGAAAAGGTAAATGTGGAATGGTACTTTCATGTAAGTGAGGATTACAGGACTAGAGAGCACACAGTTGTGCTGCAGTATAAATCTGTCCTATTTTTCATAAAGTTGAGTATATAAAGTTGGTAATCCACAAACAGTAACTTAATTGAGCAAAATATCAGGGGAAAGAAGGGGATCCTGAAGAAAAATAAGTTTTTTACAAAAAATTACTCCGCCCCGTTTCTTGAATCATTCATTAATTTTTTTAAAAAACTCAGATTTCATATTCCCTTATAGTAAATTTTTCCTCTCCCCTCATTACAATTGCATGTTTTTGTTTGTCTACAAATATACAGTCACTACACTTTACATGTCTCAACGACATGTGATAAGGCACTGTATCAAATGCAAGGATTATTCCTATTATTATTATATCCTCAACTGTTGTCGCCTTTGTTCCTCTCAACCATTATTATTATTATCATTATATATATATATACTGTTATAAGTGCCCTTTTGGGATGTCTCTTTCATAATTAACCTCATAAATAAATGAAATATTTCAGTCTCAGAAGAAGTAATTTTCTTTCAAAACTCTACGAAATTGAGAAGAAATTGTTCTTAAATTGAACTGAATTTAGCCTCCTCCAAAGTCTATGCAGGACTTGGAACCCATATAGTATATGCTGACACTCCAGTGTAGTCCTGGGGGTGCACTGCATTGTCGGAGGTGCCGTGCTTTGGATGAGGTGTTAAACTAAGGTCATATCTGCCTGTCTACCTGGAAGTTAAAGATCCCTTTGGCACTATTCGAAAAGAGAAGAGAGTGCGTCTTAGTTTCCTGACCAACGATCCCCCAAATACTATCAGTCATTCACTCCGTGGCTGTTTATGGGATATTGCTGTATGCAAATTGGCTGCTGTGTTCAGGCATAAAATACACAGTCACACCACTTTACAGTATATTTAGTATATTGAAGCTCATTCAAATGTCTCGACATGATAAGATGCGATGTCA